CATATTGTCTTTTTTCTCTTAGTAATATGGATTTAAGTTTCCTCTATGTCTTTTCATGGCTTTATACCTCTTTCTTTCTTTCTTTCTTTTTTAAAAATAATTTTTAGCACAATTTCTTTGCCTGCATGTACCACAGTTTATCTATCCTTTTACCCACTGAAAAACATTTTGGTTGCTTCTAAACTTTGGCATTTATGGATAAAGCTGCTACAAATACACCTGTGCACGTTTTTGTGTGGACATAAGTTTTCAGTTCCTTTGGGTAAATACTGAGAAGCACCATTGCTGAATCATATGGTAAAAATAAATTTAATTTTGTAAGAAACTGCTGAACTATCTTCCAAATTGGCTGTACAACTTTGCATTTCCACCAGCGATGAATGAGATTTCCTGTTGCTCCATATCTCCCCCAGCATTTGGTTTTGTCAATGTTCCAGATTTTGGTCATTCTAATAGGTATATAGTGGTATCTCATTATTGTTTTAATTTGCATTTCCCTGTTGACATGTAACATGGAGCATATTTTCATATGCTAATTTGCCATCTGTAGTTCTTTTTTTTTTTTTTTTTTTTTTTTTTTTTTTTTTTTTTTTTTTTTTTTTTTTTTTTTTTTTTTTTTTTCTTGGTGAAGTGTCTGTGAAGGTCTTTGGCCCATTTTTTAATTGGGCTGTTTGTTTTCTTATTGTTAAGTTTTAAGAGTTCTTTGTGTATTTTGGATAACTGTTCTTCATCTACTATGTCTTTTGCAAATATTTTCCCCCAGTCTGTGACTTGTCTTCTCATTCTCTTGAAATTGTCTTTCACAGAGCCAAAATTTTTAATTTTAATGAAGTCCAGTATATTGATTATTTCTTTCATGAATCATGCCTTTGGTATTGTAAAAAGTCATCACCAAACCCAAAGTTATCTAGGTTTTCTTGATGTTGTCTTCTAGTTTTATAGTTTCGCATTTTACATTTAGGTCTATGACCTATTTTGAATTAATTTTGGGGAGAGGTGTAAGTTCTATTTCTAGATTCATTTTTTTGCATGTGGATATCCAGTTGTTCCAGCACCATTTGTTGAAAAGACTGTCTTTGCTACATTGTATTGCTTTTGCTCCTTTGTCAAGATCAGTTGGCTGTGCTTATGTGGGTCTATTTCTGGGCTTTCTATACTATTCCATTGATATATTTGTAAATTATTTTGCCAGTACCATATTGTCTTGATTACTATAGCATTATAAAGATTTGATTTTTTTTAACAAAATTGTTGCAATAGCTACCATACTATTCCATTTCAGAACATTGCCAGGCTTGGGTTAACTTTCTTAGCTACCATCTAGAGATGAGGAAAGAAATTCATATTTTCAAGGATATTTAGACAGATTTATGATATTCTATGGTTTTCTTTTGCTTAGATGGAAATCTTTCCTCTGCCATGTCTAATGGAATTATATGCATAATCAGTTTCAATGATTCTGTGTGAGGGAATTTAGCAAACGTACTCTGTATCATGTATACGATCACCAATTCCTATTTCTTAATTAGAGCCAGGGCTGTAAAACCTCCTATTATCACACTTCTTTGGGCTGCAGGCCTTTTCTTAGACTGTGTTTCTCAGAGTTGCTTCTTTTTTAATACATGGAATCACCAATTCCTATTTCTTAATTAGAGCCAGGGCTGTAAAACCTCCTATTATCACACTTCTTTTGGGCTGCAGGCCTTTTCTTAGACTGTGTTTCTCAGAGTTGCTTCTTTTTTAATACATGGGATTCTACTCCCAGGCCTGGGTGAGATGCCAGTCTTCTGGTGTTCCTGATGAAGTAAAGCTTTGTCTTGATGAGTTCTAGGTGCACCTACTTCAAGTTTTAATTTCTAACTTGGGCCCCAGAAGACTTTTCTTCCAGTAATCCCAGTTCAAGTTCTGTTCTTATAAAGATTAATATGCTCTATTTTCCCGTTTAAGGGCAAATTATAATTATTTTTACTGTTTACCATACATTTCTTGTCTCTCTTTTCTACCAGGTTGTTAGCAACATGAGTGCAGGTTCTGGATCTTACCTGATCGAGAGTGTATCCCCAGCACCCAATGCCTGGCATATAGTAAGTGCTCAATAATTTTCTTAAATAAATAAATTAATACATTTTATAGATATAACATTAAGATACTATGAAGTCACAATAAGTCTTTGGAAAGGTAAATATGTCAGGTCAAATTGAATATCAGATATTCTTATGATTTTAAAAATATCAATTAATCTAGGTTGTCAGGTTAGGACATTTCTATTAATTTCAGCTTAAATAGACCAACCACAGGCCAGAGACAAGCTATATGTTAAGGTATAGCGGCTATTCAAAATCAAGTTGGTCCAACTTATCAGAAACAGCTTCCACACTCCACCTTAAATACATGGCTTAATATGTCAAAATTTTGAGTTTTTGAAATTTTTTTTATTTTTCAAAATTTTCTAATCCTGATCTTATATTCCCCCAAGGAAAAATGATGAAATATCCACAAATTCAGTGTTTATGTTAATTTTATCAAACATAACTACCATGAATAACAAGGATTGACTCATCTATCTATCATCTATGTATCTGTCTGTCTATATATCTAGATTCATTTTAAGGAATTGGATCATGCAGTTGTGGGGACTAGAAAGTGTTAAATCTGTAGGGCGGGCCAGCAGGCTAGAAACTCAGCAGGAGTTAATGCTGCAGTCTTAAAGTAAGTTTTCTTCTCCGAGAAACCTTAGTTTTGCTCTTAAGGCTTCAACTGATTGGATGAGGCCCACCTGCATTATTGAGAGCAGTCTCAGTTACTTAAATTCAATTGATTGTTGATGTTGACCACAATCTACAAAATACTTCCACAGCAATACCTAGGTTCAAGTTCAGTTAAAAAACTGGGATTATGACCTGACCAAGTTGACACATAAAATTAGCCATCACATTCACACAGACATAGTAGATATTGATGCACTTATAGTAAGCCCAATTCACTGAGTGGTGTTTTTATTTATAGAATTGAGTTATAACTGTATCGCCACACATGCACAGAACACACACACACTGAGATGGAAACAGAGACAGAGGGAGCAGGTAAACATATTTCTGTTCCAACAAGTGAGAATTTTGCATGATCGGGAGCAAAAGCTTTGCTACAAGACCCCCTTGACTTCAAGTCTGAGGACCACCATTGGCTGAAGATGGAAACAGAGACAGAGGGAGCAGGTAAACATATTTCTGTTCCAACAAGTGAGAATTTTGCATGACCGGGAGCAAAAGCTTTGCTACAAGACCCCCTTGACTTCAAGTCTGAGGACCACCATTGGCTGGCTGGCATAGGAAAACTTACTCACCTTATCTGCCTTGGTTTTCTTACCAACAAAAGTGAGGATAAAAATAATCCACCCTTGACATTGGGCCTATTACTTAGAGATTCAGAAACTGTTAGCTCTTCTCAATATGAGTTCCCTGGGGTCTGTAGAGAGAGATGCAAGGCAGTGCACATGCACAAACTCTTGCAGGTGAAGCCACAGACCTATAGCAGGTGTACAGAGAAGGCCATGGGCAACCATGGATGGGAAAGCAGACAACTCCAGCATGATGGCTTTCTGTTTCTCACTGAAGGATAGGAAGAACATGGAAATGGGAAAGGTGTATGGTTTTGATGCTATTTCATCAATTTAAAAAAGCCTTCATACACATTAGTCTTTAGACTCATTCCAAAGTTCTATGATCAAGGAAATCCAATTCCAAGCAAAGGGGAAAAAGGTAAGGTGGGGGAAAAATGCTTTTCATGCCCGAATCTATTTTTTTTTTGAAGAAAGCATTTGTGAATTCAGTCTACATAGAGGTCATAGACACCAAATGAAAAGTAAAAAAATTCAATCAACATATATATTTTTTTTTCTAAAAAAAGAAATGTTTCTGCTGCATTGTTTAAATCATGCTTGCACATGGTTGTGGTGATGCCATGTAAATGCAGAAGACTAATCATGAAAGGTGAAATCAGGACCTTGCTATTCCAAATGCTCTCTCTGGCTCTCTGCCTGTACCTGCTCTCATGCTCCAACCCCTTTCCTGACCTCCCCATCACAAAGTGACAGACCTCAGGGACAATGAGGGAACATTCTAAAGCAAAAATAAACCTGTCATTTTTATAGACAAAAGTGTCAGAGCTCAAATATCAATGATGATTTAGAAGAGTCAGTAATGTTTTTTGTGTCCATGATTACTGACAGTTAGTGGTTATTTCATGTGAAAGTTATTTTTGAGTTGCTCTTGCATTGTAACATAACACCAATGCTATGTCTTTGCCTTAAAAATATTGTTTTCACCTCACATTTAATTTGCAGAGCTACACTACATAAGCAAGATCAATTCCTCATTTGATACAGAAGTATATACGAGGGTGCTTCAAAAAGTTCATGGAGGGCCGGCCCGGTGGCGCACTGCTATAGTGCGCCGCTTGGGAAGCGCGGTGGTGCTCCCGCCGAGGGTTCGGATCCCACATACAGACC